CCTTGACTGAATTACCAACTTCCTAATTCACTTTTATTTTTCTGTGGAATTGACTCTCCACTGCTGCTGTCTGCATAGTTTTCTATGGATCATGTACACATTTTCTTCCAGAAGAGTATACCCTATCAAGAAATTGACACTCTTTAGGTCAGCTGTTAATATCATCCTGTATTCTTGATGACCTCGTATCTGGATTCTGTCTTTCCATTGTCTCTATCAGGATTGGTTGCTTGTTACATAACACCATAGCAGTAAACTCTGGGCTTTCCAGTATTATCATCATGGGCGTTCTCTAGACATTGCTTCTGGTCTACAATTCTTCTATGGGTTTCTTTATTTCTTTAGGTTGACCTTATTATTTAGTGATTCCCTGAAAGATAATGCAGAAAATCTATATAATATATAGAAAATATATACAATATATATAAAATATATATAATAATATAATATATATAAAATTTATATATGTATGAAATCTTTATGATCTTACAATACTGGACAAGCTCTTCTTTGTCTTTTCTTTCATTTACAGTAAGACCAATACAACATTGAAGACTGGATCAGATATTGAAGGTGTTTTTCATTATCTTCCAGAATATTCATAGATTTTAAGCTGACTTGAGTCATTCAAACTTCTTTCTTCCTTTTTTTTCTTTTTGTGGTCCTAGGCGTATTTTCAGTTTCTCCCTAGATGTCTTTGGGATATTTTTCAGACTCACTGTTACGGAATTTCTTAACTGTGTGTATTGAGGTGGGTCTATTTTTATCCATTCTACTGGACAATATGTGGGCCTTCTTTGGTCCTCAGAATCTTCTCTTCTAGAAACCTTTCCTTTTTCATATTCATAATGTGTTTCACTAACTTTATTTTTGCTCTATATAGTTTCAAATTTTGAGGAAATTATGAAATTTAACTTTAAAATTTAGAGAGATTTTAGTTTTGGTATCATTGAAAATTTTTGTATGATGTTTCTTTTGGTTTTGAATAATTTTTTGGTGCTAGAGATAGAACCAGGTGCTTCTGCGTATAAAGCAAGTGCTTTACCATAGAACAAGTGCTCTACCAGTCCTTAACATTCTTGTTTTCACTAAGCACTTCCTGTATCATTACTGTGGTATTCTCGTACATACAAGGGGTGATCAAAAGATATGACTAATATTTTAAATTTTAAAAAGGGAATTACAATAGAAGACACATGTGTCGCCCTTATACTACTTCCATTCCCTTCAAACATACTTATCTTTCTTCTCCTTTTATTTTTCAATTTTTATTTTTGTTAGTACATGTGTGTGGTGTATAATTATTAAATTTACCGTGGAGAGTTGGCACATGTACATAATGCATCTTAATTCTTTTTCATCCCCTCCCTGTTTCCTCTCTGCCTACTCCCTCAATCTCTTGGTCCCTTTCCCTTTTGCAAACAATCTCTTTGTTCCCTATTATCTATCTTTTATTTTCCTATGTAATTTATTAATATTTTGAGTTTCTTGTAGAAAAGAAATCCTATGAATTTGAAGCTTCTTTGTTTGCTTTCACTTACCATTTTTGTCTGAAGGCCAAATCATTTCCTACAAATGACTCCAGGGTATCCTTTATGATAGAGCAGTATTCCACTGTGTAGAAATACATTTTCTTTATCCATTCGTCTGTTGCTGGAGATGGTCACATCCAAGATTAGCTCTTGTGAATTATGCTTCTATCAATATGGACATGTATCTGTCATTGCAATATGGAGGCTTAATCTCTTTCAGGAATACTTAGAAGGGAAATAACTGGGTCAAATTTCTACTTTTTAAAGTTTTTTTATATTTTGGTACTGGGAATTGAACTCAGGACCTTGCGCTTGCTAGGCAGGCGCTTGTGCAGCTGAGCTACATTCTGGCAAAATTTCTATTTGTGATTTTGAGGACTCTCCATACTGATTTTCACAGTGGTTATAGTAACAATATAGAAGTGTAATTTTATCAAGTGGCCTTGCAAGCTTTTGTTATTATTTGATTTCTTGATGATAGCCATTCTCTCTGGAGTAATATGGGATCTCAGTATTGTTTTATGTTACATTTCTCTAATGGCCAGTGAAATTGAATAGTTTTCATATGTTTAAAGGCCATTTGTACTTCTTTGGAGAAGAAGTTTCAGTTCAGATGCCCAATTTTGATGGCCTTTAATTGGAGGGGGATGTCTAATTTTTTGAGTTCTTTATATGTTATAGATATTAATCTTCTGTCTTCAGAGCAGCTGGCAAGATTTTTTTTCTCACTCTGTAGGTGGTCTCTTCAGTCGTTTTGGAGATTCCTTTGCTGTGCAGAAGCCTTTTTATTTGCTATGATCCCATTTGTTGGGTTTTGCTGTTATTTGTTGTGCAATTGGAGTTTTGTTGAGAAAACCTTTGCGCCTGAAAGTGTTAAAGTGTTTTATGCAGATTCACCCATTTCCTCATACCCTTATAGACTTTTGACAGAGATTGATACTCAAATATTTTCCAGTTTGATATCAAGATAATATCTAATTTTGGTATTTACTTCTTTTCAGCATAAAAAGCCAAAAGCTTCTTGATAAACCTGCCACCAATTCCGTGCGCACGGAAATAGAGAACATCCAGAGGCAGCACCTATGGGGTCGAAGAGGCTGAAGGAGGCGGAGCTGTGTCCTGAGCCCAATGGTAAGAACTTAGGATGAGAGGAAACAGAGCTTTACCCCAAAAATGAGATACATTCTGTAAATGAGGTAAATTAAGGCTGTTTCCAAGCTCAGCATAGAGGAGAGATGTTTCCAAAAGACAAATTGAGGGCTGCACAGAGTCATGGAGAGTAAGACTGTCAGCAGTGACCAGAACAGAATTCCTCTCAGAGTTGCAGTTTTGTGAACTCACGGGTTATGTCTCTCCCACCCAGAGGGAGGTAATGAAGACTCTAAAAGGAGACGGGCATGCTTGTGCAGACACCCAAGAATGCTCCTGTTAGCAATAGAAATCAAATAATTCCTAGAATTATGTGGATGTATGATATACTGTCACATCTACACCTATATTACACCTTGCATCTCACATGTTGATCTACATAACTTAAAGAGTATTAATAAGATACGACATTTCCCATTTTCTATGAGACAAGCATAGTGCTAAGCCTAATCCTCTTGGTACTTCCATATCCTGACCATTGGTCAGATTTATTAATGCAGTACCCCCAGGCACATCAAAGAATTTCCTTTGTTTAATCAATATTCTCTATCTACACTTTGGATATGAAGTGTAAGATAGCGATATTCAAGTCAGTGACAGAATTTCCATTAGATAAAAGGCGTCCATCTACATAGGCAATGGATATGAACAAGCCCGCAGTGCTGTGAATACTGGCTTGGTCCTGGAACTCTAGCGATGTCATTGACAAGTCCTAGAACACTGCTGAGGCCTTAGTGATAACTAATATCATACCAACACCGGTGCCCAGCTGGTCTCTGCTCACCACAGTGATCAGGTGAACACATAGCTTCCCATGGTATGTTTTGGGTTTGGCTGTACGAACTTCATTCCTTATCATCTTTGGCTAACACTGTGAGAGCTGTGTCAGAGAGACATTTACCTGATTTGAGCAGTTCTCCAAAGAGTAGAATTATGAAGCACAAACAGAAGAGAAAACATTTAGAGAGCAGAATCTCTTCTCAACCTGCAAACATGTCAAGAGGTGCATCTTAGAATATTCTCAAAGGACGGAACGAGGAATTGTCTCCATGTGAGGTTGAAGTAAAGACTTGTAGTTGCGGTGAGGAGTGGAAGAGAGAGAGAAGGGACTGACTGAGAGGAGATTGTTGTGTTCCTGAGGGTTCAGGTAGTCTGAGAGGGAAGAGAAGCTTCAGATGATCCAGGTTTCTCTCTGGATTAGGGATTAGTCTCCTTATTCAGAATCAGTTTGGGTTACACTCTCACATACATGGTCTAGACTTTTTTCTTAAGAATGGATTTTCTCTCTTCTGACTTCCTCCTAAGGATATTGGGAGTGTACATAAAGTTATGATTTCCAACAGTACTTTCTTCATTTAGATGTAGAAGGAACTGGTTCATAGAGAACAAAATATTTTTTACAAGTTTAAACTCTGGCTTCTGAAGCAAACACTATAAAGTCATGAATAATATTCAGGAGTAAAGAACTCATATTGCTTCAGTCTATGAAGACATGCCTACATGACTCTTACATGAAATGTACAAAAAAGTGACACGCACACACACACAAACATCCACAAATGAATTAGCCATGAATGGTGACTTAAATAGAGAAGATTTGGCTCTTTCCAGAAAAGTGGGAAATTGAACAGCTGTGGTGCCTTGGAGATTAGCAGTAAAAATTCCTTGATGGAGGGCTCGTACTCAGTGGTGGGAACGAGACAAGTTGGTGCTCACCCCAAATTCAAGAGTTACTCATCTTTCCAGGAATAGTCTGATATTTTCCTAAATATTTTGAGCTTCTGCGTATTTTGATGGTCCTTTGACAGAGTGTAAACTTGTCTTCTTTTCACCTTCTTTAACATAGGTACATTTTTAAAAATGTTGTGAACTCCAAAATATGAAATAGGGATACTCCATACTCACAGGTATTTATATACAAACAGACAAACACACTCACAGAAAAAAAACAAGCCAAGGAAAGATAAATACTAACACCCACTATAGTTGTCCACTTACTATGCACCAAATGAAATTGAGTACTCCTTAAAAACACATTACAACTTGACTTCCAAGTTTAGCAGAGGTCAAGCCACTGTAAGTAGAACACACAGAATCTACTTCTTACTTGTGTATGAACTCAGTGTGTGTTCAAGCAACAGAGCAATTGTCCTTCATGAGCTAATTCATAGGCTGAGACTACAAGCTGCTGTTGTCCACACAGAGGTTTCAAAGAGACCTTGCTTTATGAACATCCCAGTGAGTGCAAAGGGAAAGTGTGGAGTGATGCAGAAGTTTGTGGCTATAGAAGTGGCACATGACTCTTGTACTCACTTTCCCGGTAGGAAATGTAATCACCTGAGCAGGGCTAACTACAGGGCAGCTCAGTAAGTATATTATGGTAGTCGCCGCACCAGTGACACGCTGTGCAAATCTGATGCTCTGCAGTGTATCGACAAGATAGACGTCTCTCTACATTTAAAATCTTTTACTAAGAGGAATCCTACAGTGTACCAAGAAGGATGGAGGTGATATTTGTTCACAGAAAATGTCAAAGAACAAACTGAAATTATTTGCTTAAGAATAGAGAAACACACATAAACACCAAACTGGAACCCTATCACTTCATCATTGTTTACTTTGCAGGAGAGGACAATATGCAAAATGGTCTTCAGGGTGAAGATGAGATGCTGGCCGCAACTCAGTGCTACAGCGTGGGAGCTATTTGTTACACAAGCTCAGAGCAGCTCTCCTATGAAGACAACATTCTCGGTGCAGGTATGGAGGCACTGTTGGACAGGGTCTGAGGGTGAGCTGGGTTTAGCATATCCCAGATTTGAGTTGAGTGCATCTGACCATAGGTGATACAGGTTATTTAGTCAGAAAGAAACAGAAAATAATCAGCAGTGGACATAATGAATACCAAGGGGAAAGCACCACGAAGCGTGCAGTAAACCCAAGGTCACTGGAGGCTGGGTTCTGCTCAGGAAATGGTGGGAGAGTGACCGAGTACATGAAAGATGGTCAGAGACACATACAAGGTGTGTCAGTATGATTGGGAAAGAGTATTTTAGACTTGCATGACTGTGTGAAAACATTAGCAGCATAAAGGAAGCCCAAGATGATAAGATCCTCAAAAACCTGGCTTTGAGATACATTATAGATACACGCAATCCAAGAGCACACGGCATCCTTGCGTTTCCATAGGCAGTGTTCCCACATGGGGCCCTTCTCAGACCCATCTGCACTGTCTCATGCCATCTCCTTTCCTTCAAATCTTCCCCACGCACATGGATTCTCTATTCTCCGTTTTTGTCCCTATTATGCAAACAGTAATAATTACTCTGATTTCTAGATGACTGCACATTCATTTTATGTTTCTCCAAACTTTGTTTAAATTGAAGTTCAAAATATATGGCTTATGTTTCTGCCCTTTCACTCACCTGTATATCCATGAATTTATGTGTATGGCACAAGATTGTAGTTTCTATACTCTCATTATTCCTTATATTTCTTTACTTGCAGAAAAATAATTTATTGACCAATTACACTCTGCCTGGCCACTAGAGCTGCTTTGTATGGAGAGAGTAAGGAGATGTTTTCAACATTCTCTTGCCTATATTTTGCTATATTAAGACATTTTTGCCAGATAAAATTATAAGGTTTTTTACATTTGTATACCAACCAATTCAGAACTGAATCCTTCATTTCATTTTCTAATGCAAACATGTTAATACCCATTTGTCTTGTATATTCTTCTCAGTACGCTTACTTATTATATATCGTAGAGAGTCCTGTGTCTTCAAACCTCCTAAGTTCTTTTTCTTACACATTTTGATCTTTATATATTCATGATCCTTGATTACTTCCTTAGATTTTTACATATGTTGATTGCTCTTATTTCATAGAGAATGTTTTCACTAATTACATTGCAGTGTAAGCAACAGGAGGCACTACACTCACACATGTACCCACAAACACAAATGCTTAATCATAGGGCATTCCATCAACACAGAGATGTGTCCTCCTAACACAGACACGCCCCACAGTGTCATGCTTTTTCAAGCAAAACTTGTCCCATACTGACATTTGTGGCTACTTAATCAGTCACACGTTAAAACCTAGTTTAATTTTAACTAACATGCAGTGATGTCATATGCCTGAAACACACTGCACTTTGCACACACCACTTCACTGCATTGTGTGTGTCATGTGCATGCCAGACACTAGTTGCACTAATTTGAGATCTCTAGTGAGAGATACTGATACTCTTTTTTTTTTTTGTCTGATACTCTTAAACAGTTAAATAAAGGCAGGTGAGCTTGGTTCTCACTGGGGATAGGGTCAGTACCATAATAGGGTCATGAATATGTAATTTCTCTAAACATAACTGTTCACCAAATCTTTATATGGAGGTTGTGACTCTCTAGGAGGTGAGATCAGAGAACGGTGAGGCAGGTGCAAAGGTGATCTGAGCTTGGACAAGAGGCACAGCCCAGCTGCTTGCCTGACTCCTCACTTCCCTCTTGCTTCACAAACAGGAAAGGGCCTCGGGGCAGAGGTCTCTGCACAGGGATGAATAGGAAATAAGGCTGTGGGCATAGGACAAAGCTTCTCAGCACAGATTTCCATGTGAACACTGAGGCAGCGGTGGCTGAGGCTGTGGACCGTGCTGAGATGCGTAGGGGATGTGATCAGCACGTTCCCCTCAGAGCAGCGCAAATTCAGCCTCACTCGCTCATCTGTCACTTGTGCCACACTCCTTTATACTCCTTGATGAGCCCGTTTCTCTTTACCTTTCTCCCAAATACTCTTCTCTCTCCGTTGCCCACCCTTCCCCTCTTAGTATTACACAGGTACACCCCGCACGGTAATTCCACACACAGTCATACCCACATTCACCACTTTACACACTAATCCCACAAGGAGCTTCACACCCCCTCTCGAGAATAAGCCTTTCTAACCCCACACTGTTCGAGAGACCAAACACTAGAGAACTCACACACCCTTCAGTATGTATATCTTCTCACCCAAGCATCACTTCTTCCACCACGCCATGAGCCCTTCAGCGAGTGGCATGTTCTGGGGTGATACGCTCTTCCTCCTCCATGTAAGGCCAGTGTCACCGTCTAACAGCATTCACGACTCATACTAGGAATCATGTCTTATGCATGTAGCACAGCAGAACACGTCCCCCCCACAAACGTGCCCATCATGATATCCTTTTTAACAATTTTTGTTTTGTTTAATTTTTTCATTATTATAAAAATAAAAAATGAAAATAAAAATTTCAATACAGGCCAATAGGAGAATAACGATAATTAATACATTGCATATTGTTATTTTCATCATCATTATGTGATTTTACCAGTAGCAGAAACATTTACCAGATACGTACCAGAATATATATGTGTATACATGATATATATTATTTGTATGTATATTATATATGTGTATATATATATATATATTTTTTTTTTTTGCTTTTTGAGACAGGGTCTTGCTCTGCACCTCAGGCTGGCCTTGAGCTCACTTTGTACTCCAACTGGTCTCAAACTCACAACCATCCTCCTGCCTCAGCCTCCTGAGTGCTGGGATTACAGGTGTGTGCCACCTCGCTTGGCAATATATGTATGTGTGTGTGTGTGTGTGTGTGTATGTATGTATGTATATATATATGTATATATTTAGTATTTATAAGATTACATGTGAATATATTCCTGGGAAACACCATAAACTCATTTTTCATCTTGCATAGCACATAACACACACAGAATTCTGAAACATCACAGAGACATGCACTCCCATCTCACATACCCCAAAACACGGATGTTCTCAGGGCCATCTCATCTCATGGTTTTTTAAAATTTTCTTTCTAGAAACCAATCCATCGCCTCAATGTTTTCCATGTTTTCCATCCTGCAAGAGGCCTCTGCATCAAGATTTGATGGAGTGTCAGAATTACGCCTTCATTTCACGTTGCCATTTACCTTCCACCTTCGCCAATAGCTCCTTGGCAACCCCAGTGTCTTCGGAGACGGAAAGAGTGGTGAAGGTTTACTACATGCGTGTCCTAACCAGAAGGGGTGTGGCTATCTTCGAGGATGCAGAAGGAGAACTGGAGCCTCCCCCAAAGAGGATAAGCATAGCAAAACTTACCTTTCCTGAGGGGATTCCTCCCAAAGTCATCCTCCCTGGAGATACACAGCACCTGCTGACTGACAGCAAGGCTCACTGGGACAGTGAAGTCCTAGAGGGAGGGGAAGAAGCTGAGAGGGCATCAGAGATGGTGGCTGAGGAGGCAGGACCCAGCGCTGGAGCACCTCCCTGGCTGTTGCACCTGGAAAGGGGCTTCCGCTGCATGGGCTGCTGCAGAGTCTTCCCCACGCTGGAGATCCTCACGAAGCACGTGGAGCACGGCCTCAAGGAGGGCTTCTCGTGCCTTACTTTCCACCTTGCCTTTGCCAGGCTAAGGAGGAAAAGGAAGAAGGAAAGAAGGAGGATCACTAAGAATGGCCAGTGGTGCTACTGACGCAACATCTGGGGCCTCTGGGGAGAAATTTGTGTGGTGTTGTGGTGCTTGTATTTTGAATCTTTGTGAATTTTTGTGTTACTTTTTACATAAATAGTATTTCTCATGTTCTTGACTAGGACAGGTGACGAATAAAAGTAAACTTCAGTACTGTAAACCTGTGTGCTTAAATCTCTTCCTCCCTTTTTACACCTTCGTTCTCTCTCTGAGTCAGCTGTGCTGTGTGGGAATGGAGATTCTAGCAGTTACAGTGTTACTATTTGTGAGGGTCATAGGGTACAGGTCAATCTCCTAGTCCAGTTGAGTTAGGCAAAATGAGGCCCAGCCCTTAAGGTTCTGTCTCTCTGGCAGCGAGAGGAAGTGCAGTGCCACTTACAGCTGTCACAGAGTGCCTCACCCTCAAAGCCCTGAGGGTGGGTCTGGACACCTCTGTCCAGCATTTTCTGGCCACCTGCGTGGCTGCCTGACAGGCCTGCAGCTGCCACCCTGACAACTGCTCTGTCCTTCCCTGCACTCTGGCCTGCTTCGGGTCACAGTGTGAGGAATGGTGGAGGACCGGGCTCTCACAGGCAAAGACTGAGGTGGGACCAGAGCACACTGATGATATCTACAAATCCCCAAGCGCCAACGGGCAGTAACTGCTTCTGCCACCCAACCAGGAGACTTGTGGAGAGAAGCGACAGTCACTAGTTTAGCTTGCCCCATGTCACGGAAATGTTGGTGCTGTCAGTCTAGCAGCTGCTTCTTCTGAAGTAGGGCACACTGTCACCATGACAGCTGTGGCCACCCTACATATCCTGAAGACCTCTCTGAGGGGTATTGTCTTGAATAGAGCAGACTGTAAACACAGGTCTACCCAGGATGATTCTGCCTTGGAGCCACTCTGGATGAGCACCAGAAAGCCAGGGAATGAGGAAAAAACCTCTTGGCCAAAGGGTGCAGCAATAGGCTAGCTCAACCACACACCACACGTAGAAACCTGATGGCCTGGTCCCACAGCCACGTTGAGACAGCTGAGCTCACAGCAGCACCATGAATCCCCTCTCTCTCCCAGTCTGCCTGGGTTCCAAACTGGAATGTGGCATGGATGTCTCTGAACAGCCACACATGCAGCACATCTGAATCTCAAGCAGTAGTACTCTACAGCAAAGCAAGGTTCACATTCAGTGTAGTTTTTCATTTCTGTTCTATGACATCCAGGAGGGCAGCACAGAAAAATCTGGAAGAGATGCTGATCAGACAATCCAAATCTATCTCTGTTCTGGTCTGATTATATGTGTCCCCCAATTTCACATGTTGGAAACTAACCTCAACTGGATTGAACTGTTGGGTGGATCATTGATGGGTGATTAAGGCATGATTAAGGCACATTAAGGTGTGCTTTCATGATGGGACCTGTGCCCTTCTCTAAGAAGCCTGACAGAGCTTGAAGGTGCCTATCTCCATCAGAGTGCACACAGAGCAGAAGGCTCCATCTCTGAGGAAATTGCCACAGTAGACATTCACATGCTGGTACCTTGATCTTGGGCTTCCTGGCCTCTGGAGCTCTGAGCAGTACATTTCTGTTACTGGTAAGTTACCTCCTACAGTATTTTGTTATCAGTCCAGATGAACTAACAGGTATTTCATCCACCTTGGTTTCCCTGATACATTCTTTTATTGCTTATGTCTTTAATGCAGTACTATCCCTGGGAACAGTTCTTCGTTCTCTGCTTGCACTGTTTCAGCATCCTAACTTCCCACACTTTCCTATGTCATCAAATGTGATAGTGTCCCTATCGCATATCACACAGCCTTTCAATTCCTTGCTTTGTTATTTTCTCTATTTCCTTTCACTCCTAACTAGCATGGTCTGTGTTCTACATTTCACATCTCACTCCTGTTAGCTATTGTAGTCTGAAACTTTTGACTACTGTAGTTTATCTATCACGTGTTCTATTTTCCCAAGCTGTAACTTCAATTATAAAATCTTTACCAAGTTAAAGAACCGGTTTCCTGCTGCATCCTGTCAGTTTCCACCTGTGTAGGAGCTGGGGATTTAGCTCAGTGGCAGAGCGCCTGCCTGGCAAGCACAAGGTAGTGAGTTCCGTTTCTGGTACCGGAAACAAAACAAAACAAAACAAAAAAACCCAAAAACAGAAAAACCCAAAAAAAACCCCAGTTTCCACGTGTGTATCACAAGCAGTTCAAGCTCAACATGTCCAATGTGAAGAGTGTTTTCTTCTAAACCTAGTCTTCCTGTTTCTGTTGTGTGTTTGTCTAAATTGAACAATTTTACCCATTCGCTGAAGTTAGGAGCCTGGAAGTCAATGTTACTGTTCTCATTCCCATTCTGTTTCTGCATTCAAAGGGTCTCAAGTCACATGAATCCGGTAGAATCCTTTCATGAAATTTTTTTTTTTTTGTACTGGGATAGATCTCAGAGCATCACATTTGCCAGGCAGGTGCTGTGCCACTGAGCTAAATCCCTGGCCCCCAAATTATGTAAGTTTTGAACACAACAGGTGGTCTTCAACTGATAACTTTTGCCATGCTAATTGTAGTTCCTTATTGGAAATTAGTTGTGTGTATCAGTGGCATAAAAGCAAAATAAAAGCATCATTTTTTCACACCTAATGTCTTTCCTATCTTCTTTCAACCTTTAATAAAACCCACCATGCTCCTGGTTTGGGTATCAATGATCTTGAATGGTCCAGAAATATTTTTCGATCAGTATAAAGCATAGTATGTGCAATAACCATCATCGTTTTAGTTGGCAACAAAATATTTGGGAGCAGCATTTTAAATACAATCATCTTGGATTGTCTACACTGGTAGTTGAATGGTGTGAAAGGAGTAGAAATGGTGCATATCATAGAAAGAGCAGGAATGGAGGGATTGAATATGTCTAGTGTGGTGTAAACAAGGAGTGGGGCCTGGAGATGCTGAGTCAAGGCAGGGAACTCGGCCACTGTGTATTTTCCACTGTTTCATGAGTGTCCAATGTAGCTGAGGCATGAAACTCCAATGCAGGCAGAAGCAGGTTACTCCAAGTCCCTAGAATGATCGAACAATAACACTACCTTTCTCCAGATTACACAGGGCCAAAGAAATGGCACAGAGATGGTTCTGGAAAGTTCCACCAATTTCCTGAAGGCTGCATATAATTAATAACATTGGTTCACATATTCAAAAATCCAGAAGAGAAGATTTTGAATATCCTTTTCAAAATACAATAGGATTCTTTGATATTTTGGATAACCTTAGTGTCTTGAGTTCACCAATATACAGTGTATAAGCATACCAAAATGTCACGCTGTACCTCATAAAGGCATATCAGTGACAAAATATCCACTAGTGACAAAATATAAACCCTGTGACAAACAAAATAACCCATGAGGAAATCGCATCAGCAGAAGAACATATAGATAGTTATCACCATTTCATTTACTATTGAACAAAATTAGAGGTCATGATTTAAGCAATGAATGCCATAAAATTTATACAGACTGAAGTGGAAAAAACACAGTGGGATTTTTGACATATAGCAAAATGTATTATAAAAACTTTTCAAGTCCCCAGAGAAGATAAGGGCTAATGAGTCAGGCCACCTAGATGTCTAATAGAAACGCAATGTTAAATGTGATTTTCTGCATTTCCATACACAAAGACATGTTAAACTTCATTTTAAAATTCTAGTGTCAAAACTCTGATGCATATAGAAATAAATTTTAAAACATACGTATATCTTTAAAATAGAATAAAAGATTCTTCATTAAAAGCTTTAGGAGTATAAAAGAAAATTATACCGACATTTACAGGTAGAAAAGAAAAATTCCTTGATTGAGAAGTGGTCAGTTTTATATATATCATTATGTGAATTTTCTTATACATTTGTCAGGCCAATTTGAAAATTGTAAGAAGAAGCAAAGGAAAAGAAGAACCATTCCATTTCTTAAAATAGAATTCTTTGAATGATTCTGTCTTTTCAGGGCCTTTTGAAAATCAAATAATATTACATTGAATTGGCAGAGACAGTTTACCACAGGAACATGAAAAAGAAACCAGAAATGGAGGGATTTTTTTTTTTTAAAAATCTGTTGTTTTAACCTGGGCGAACAAAATTTAGTGACGAAATGTATGGGGTTTACAATAAAGTTATTTAGAGTCCTATGGAGGGTTTGTACATAAATACACCCAAAATGATTCTTCTTGTAAGTATATTCCCTCTTGAAATACTCTATATGACTCCACTAGAAAATATGCCCAAATCATTGGTATCAGCATTCTTGAAGCAGTGAATGACAGCAAAACAAATGTTCATCAAGAAGACAATGACAAAATTACTCTACTCTGTTCAAACAGTAAACCTGTAGAAATTAATTACCACCAACCAGCACTGCACAAAGTATTTAACAAGATATCAGACAGGGACAGGAAGACCAGCATTAGGAAAGAACCTAAAGGAAAGGATCTGCCTACGAGGGAGAGTAAACAAAGAAAGAAAAAAAGGGAATCAGAACAGAAAAAATTCAATGGCAGTATCAACACACCATTCAATAATACTCAATATAAGTGCTTTTAACTCTACCCTCAGAAGAAACAGAACGATAGGGTAGATCAAGAAACAAAACTATTTTGCCTCCAGGAGACATAGTTCAGCCACCAAAAAACCACATAAACTGAATGTGAAAAGTTGGAACTCCATGATTGAAAGTGAAAGGTTGGAGTGGGGGTATTTAGCTCAGCGGCACAGTCCCGGCCTGGTAAGCACAAGGTCCAGATTTCGATTTCGGGAACGGGAAGAAAAACAAAAAACGAGCAATCAAACAAACAAACAGAAAGGGAAAGTGCAGAAAACATAGACTAAAAGTGAAAGGTGAGAACTTTCAGAGCCTAAGAACAGATAGTAGTCCCTCTCATGTTTAACAAAGCAGGCTTCAAGCCAAAACTGAAGACCAAACCAAAACTTCTTTACCAGAAGAGACAAACAAGGTCCCTACTTATTTGCAAAGGGAGCATTTGGAAGAGATAACACTTGTAAATATATATACACCAAATGTCAGTGTACCCATTTCATAAAACAGAGACACTCCACATAAAGGACAGAAAGATACCAACACAATCATAGCGAGAGGCTTTAATATCCCATTTCCCCAAACCGATAGATTAA